AGGCCGTTTAAAACTTCTTCTTATTTGGCGCTGTAACCGCCTAAGCGATTTTGGCCGGTATTTAGGCCGTTTAAAACTATGAAATTATAAAATCTCGTCTGCGCGCTAGGCATACGAAAGATATCAATCCCTCTAAGTTTACCTTAAAATGGTTCCAGGTATACGACGCGTAAACATGTAACCTTCTTGGAAGTGCCACGGCGGGTTCTAATATTTCCAACTCAAATTTAGTAACCTGGCCTTGATAAAATACCACTTCTCATTACTGTAGCAAATGCCTCAAGAGAGCTTTAGATTATAAGGCCGAACCCGGCTCTCCCTTTTCCATTAAATGAAATTTTTTCTATCAGTACGGCACTTATAAAATAAACCTCCATAACAAATTTAAAATACTTCCAAAGATTTTCTATCCTTCCAGAGATATGTATTAAGAAAGTTTTAGTATGTATGGGAGGCGACATGCCTCCTTTTTTAATAACTCACATTTTTTCCATGAGCAATTGAAACATTTTGTATACACAACTCCATACCAAGTTCCAGTATTCTTCCACAAACACTTCCAGGGATATGTGGCAAGAAAAAGTCAATTTGCACAGAAAGTGCCACGCCCCTTTTTCTTATAACCCTAATCTTCTTTCATGAATTTAGAATTGATTTTACATACCCCAGTACCAAGTGCAGTACTCTACCATGAACACCTCTAGGGATATGCAGTATAAAAGTAAATTTGTACGGGAGGTACCATGCCCCCTTTTCGAATAACGCAAATTTTTCTCCATGAGTATGGAATTAATTTTGTATACACATCTCGGTGCCAAGCTCCCGTCCTCTGCAATAAACACCTCCAGAGATATGCGGCATAGAAAAAACAATATGCATGGGAGTTGCCACATCATCTTTTCCAATAACTCAAATTTTTCTCCATGAGTATGGTATAGCTTCACATACATACATACATATGTATTTCCATACCAACCTTGAGTATTTTACCCCAAACATTTGAAGGGATATGCAATATGAAACTTTCAGTCAGTATGGGAGGTGCTACGCCTCTTTTCCAAAAACCTCCATTTTTCTCCGTGAATATGAACATTGCACATGATTTCACACAGTGCTACGCCTCTTTTCCAAAAACCTCCATTTTTCTCCGTGAATATGAACATGATTTCACACAGTGTTGGAAAACTGTTAATCTGATTAACGATTAAAAATCAACGATTAAAATGTTAATCGCGTTTGACGATTAAAATTAATTAGTCGTTATCAACTGATTAATGATAACATTTTTTGAATCGTTAATCGCTGGCTGCGATTACGTTTAATTAATTTAAAACAATAATCGTTAATCCAATTAAAAATAAAATCTGATTAATTTGTCTAGTTTGTCCGAGATTGAAACCAAACACCAGTTATAATAATTATTTTGTGTTTTACGCTTATAAAAAGAACATAATATAAAAAATTAGAATTATTGTTATTAGTAATACATAAAGTGGGAACTTTTACAAACCTAGTTTGTAAAACGTTTGTTGGTATATATCTTAATGAAAATGCACACCAAATTGCTTAGATTGATGAGAAAACCTGATTTAGCCATACCGGATTAACTTTCTTTGTGTGCACAGGGAAATTCCAGCATAACTTAATTAATCACCAAACCTAGTCAAATTAAAATTAATCATGATTAACTGTAATCAGATTGAATTTAATCGAATTAACTAACTGATTAAAACATCAACCGATTAATGCCAACTTTGATTTCACATAGATATCGCTATACCAAGTTTCAGTTCTCTCCCACAAATACTTCCATAGATATGCATGTAATATGAAAATTCCAATTTGTATGGGAGGGGCCTTGAGTTATCGGACTTACTTTCAGTCTAAGACCATCCTTCCGAAATCCGTAGTAAGTGTACTAAAATTCGTTCTGATCGGAAAACCGGTTAAGGAAGTAGCCTGTTTTTCAATCCAGGTCATAAACCATCTTTGACCAAAATTTCATTTTCAAACCGGTGGCAATTCTTAAAAAAGTAGCCTATTTTCATGAACCAAAAATACAAGATCACGTAAGAACTCGACGTTATATTTGTAACTGGTTTTGAGAAAAAAGTTTTCGAAAGCGGGTTCGTCAGCTGAGCGTTTGTTTACATCACAAGCACCACTATTTTACACTTTTATTCAAGTAAAGAAGAGTTAATTCAACATGACAACACATTTTAAAGCATTTTGTTGTATCATTTTACCCAAATTGTGCGTTTAAAGTGGCTGACAATAATTTTGGCTAATTTTGGTTTTCGTTGTTTTCTTTGCTTTGTTTACATTTCGCTCGATTTCCAGTGAAACAAGATGGCGTAAAACTCGCTAAAAAAATCGACTTTTTTCACTCTCTTGTTCATACGTGATATTGTGTCTTTCGTTCATGGCCTATGGTAAACAATGCAAAGAAAACAACGAAAACCAAAATTATTGTCAGCTACTTTAAACGCACAATTTAGGTAAAATGATGCAACAAAATGCTTTAAAATGTGTTGTCATGTTGAATTAACTCTTCTTTACTTGAATAAAAGTGTAAAATAGTGGTGCTTGTGATGTAAACAAACGCTCAGCTGACGAACCCGCTTTCGCAAACTTTTTTCTCAAAACCAGTTACAAATACAACGTCGCGTTCTTACGTGATGTTGTATTTTTGGTTCATGCTATTTTCCAGTCTAGGTCGTAAGCTATCTGTGTGCAAACTTTCATGCAAATCAGTTCAGTCATTTACGCGTATTAATTTAATTATACTTTCTTAATACGTGATAACTCTTAAAATAGTAGCCTATTTTCCAACATAGGTCATAAGCTATCTCTGTGCGAAATGTAATGCAAATCTGTTCAGTCGTTTCCGCGTATTAATTTAATGAAACTTTTTTAACAGGTGGCAACTCTTAAGAAAAGTGGCCTATTTTCCACTGTAGATCATAAGCTATCTGTGTGCAAATTTTCATGCAAATCCATTCAGTCGTTCCCGCATATTAAATAAATTAAACTTTTTTAACAGCTGGAAACTCTAAAAAAAATAGCC